CCCCAAAACCCCAAAACCCCAAAACCCCATGTATGCTTAATATTTAATAAAAGGGTTGTTGATAATTGGAAAGAGATAGTATTTATTTATATAATAGTAATGGCAGATTCAACGAGTAAAAATCAGACAGTGGATGCCAAAAAGGAAGCGAATCAAATGCTGAATTTAATGAATATCGTTATCAAAGAGCAGGAAAAGAAGCAAGATAAGAAGAGAGACAGGAAATTCCTAGAGAAGTTTAAGAGCAAGTCTAAGATGAATGGAAAGCAAAGTGAATAGAAAAAGATAGAGCAGAATCCAGAAAGTGATGTTTCCCTGGTAGACTAGATATTCAGACCTCTTGCAAACGCATTCAAAGGGTATAATTAGCTTTATCATGTCAATTATATTGTAGAGATACACCTATTGTGTCAATAGACTGCGAAATGGTTGAGGTAGATAAGTTTAGCGATGGCTTGGCTAGGTAAGCATTTCATTTATTCATAACTTATGTGTATATAGAGTGTCGATTGTAAACTACAATGGGCATATTTTGTATGATCAGTATGTGAAGCCAGAGGGTAGAATAACTAACTATCGCACTTGGGTATCTGGAATCACCCCAGCAAATATGAATGGCTCTAAGCCTTTTAAATAAGCCATCACAGAAGTACATAGAATACTAAAGGGCAAAATAATAGTGGGGCATTCACTCAAGCATGATTTTAGTGTCCTCTAAATGAGGGAAGGAGATCGCTATTATAACGAAGACAACACCCCTAACTTTATTGAAGTCACTGCAGGACAGAGCACATTCATAGTTACAAAGGATAAAATTAGAGACATAGCTAAGTACAGAAAGTATTAGAACTAGAATGGGCAGGCTATATCTCTGAAGAGACTTACTGAGGAATTTCTGAATCGTAAAATTTAACAAGGCTCGCATTGCTCAGTGATTGATGCTCGTGCTGCTATGGCTCTCTACCGAATAAATGAATAGGAATGGGAGAATACAGTAAAATAGAAGAGCTATTGCTCTGTCAAAGAGAAGGTAGCGAGAGATGCTGGTTAGTTGTAAAAGTTTTTCGGAGGGGCTTCCCAACCCACTAAGAAACTTAAAATATGAAGAGATATAGACAGAGACTTAGAATCGTAATTAATATTTACTAATATGCAATCAGAAATATAAGCAGTATTTAATTTTATTTAAGAATTATGATATTTAGATGGCTTATTAGTAACAGCGGGGTTTTGGGGTTTTGGGGTTTTGGGG